TTATTTTATAAAATATTACTTAATATTATCCTTATTTATTGTTTTATAAGTCTTATTTAATATTTTAATATCTTACCTTAATATTTGGTGAGTTAATGATGACTGGTTTGTGTTTTTGGGTGAATTAATTATTTAATATTTTTTATTATTTAATACAATATTATTTAATGTTACTTAATAGTATTCTTATTTATTGTTTTAGAAATTATATTTAGTTATTATTTTATAAAATGTTATTTAATACTATTTCATACTAACCTCGTTTATTGTTTTATAAATTTTATTTAATATTTTTATTATTAAATACTATTTAATTTTATCCTTGTTTGTTGTTTTATAAATGATTTTATATTTTTATTATTTTATAAAATATTTTTTTGTATTTATCCTTATTAATTGTTTTATAAATCTTATTTAATATTCTAATATTTTTACATTAGTTAATGATGACTGGTTTGAGCAAGCGTGTGTTTTCTGTGACTTCTCGTGGCAGCTGTGAGGTTCGTCCCGGTCCGGAGTTCATCACTCGCTCGTACCGTTTCTTTCACAACAACACGTTTCAGGCACATCAGTTCTACTACGCAGACAATCAGTGCACCGCGCCGAGCTACACGCTGCTGATCCGGGGCCGGCTGCGTCTGCGCCAGGCGTCCTGGATCGTCCGAGGCGGCACCGAGGCCGACTATCAGATCCACGGCACACGTCTGGTGTGTCACTCGGCGTCTGCGGCCCGAGAGCTCGCTCAGCGGCTGAAGCACAGCTGCAGGGATCTGGGCTCCTGGCTGCCGAACGTGAGCTACGAGCTGTGGAGCGACTGCGGCTGCGGCTGCGCACTGAACGTCTCCATGCACGAGCTGCAGCTGCTGCGGCTGGAGAAGCAGTATCTGCATCACAGTCTGGATCAGCCGCTGGAGGAGCTTTATCTGGGAGACATTCACACCGAAGCGGCGCAGAGGATGCTCTACAGACCCTCCAGCTACCAGCCCGCGCTGCAGAACACACAGGTGAGAGCATCATTCAACTGTGAAGCGTAACCATTCAACCTGTAAACGGCCTGCAGTTAGACTGTGTTCTATGGGCTTCTGAATGGATGGCAGATGCTGAGATCTGAGATCTGATTTAACATCGTGACATTTCAAGACATTTTACACTCTTTTGCATTGATGGTTCCTTAGATTGTCAAAAAGGTTCTTTAGATTAATGTTCTTAACATTAAGAAAAAAAAAAATGTTTTTAGAAATTATATTTAGTTATTATTTTATAAAATGTTATTTAATACTATTTCATACTAACCTCGTTTATTGTTTTATAAATTTTATTTAATATTTTTATTATTAAATACTATTTAATTTTATCCTTGTTTGTTGTTTTATAAATGATTTTATATTTTTATTATTTTATAAAATATTTTTTTGTATTTATCCTTATTAATTGTTTTATAAATCTTATTTAATATTCTAATATTTTTACATTAGTTAATGATGACTGGTTTGAGCAAGCGTGTGTTTTCTGTGACTTCTCGTGGCAGCTGTGAGGTTCGTCCCGGTCCGGAGTTCATCACTCGCTCGTACCGTTTCTTTCACAACAACACGTTTCAGGCACATCAGTTCTACTACGCAGACAATCAGTGCACCGCGCCGAGCTACACGCTGCTGATCCGGGGCCGGCTGCGTCTGCGCCAGGCGTCCTGGATCGTCCGAGGCGGCACCGAGGCCGACTATCAGATCCACGGCACACGTCTGGTGTGTCACTCGGCGTCTGCGGCCCGAGAGCTCGCTCAGCGGCTGAAGCACAGCTGCAGGGATCTGGGCTCCTGGCTGCCGAACGTGAGCTACGAGCTGTGGAGCGACTGCGGCTGCGGCTGCGCACTGAACGTCTCCATGCACGAGCTGCAGCTGCTGCGGCTGGAGAAGCAGTATCTGCATCACAGTCTGGATCAGCCGCTGGAGGAGCTTTATCTGGGAGACATTCACACCGAAGCGGCGCAGAGGATGCTCTACAGACCCTCCAGCTACCAGCCCGCGCTGCAGAACACACAGGTGAGAGCATCATTCAACTGTGAAGCGTAACCATTCAACCTGTAAACGGCCTGCAGTTAGACTGTGTTCTATGGGCTTCTGAATGGATGGCAGATGCTGAGATCTGAGATCTGATTTAACATCGTGACATTTCAAGACATTTTACACTCTTTTGCATTGATGGTTCCTTAGATTGTCAAAAAGGTTCTTTAGATTAATGTTCTTAACATTAAGAAAAAAAAAAATGTTTA